GGGGGGCCTGGCCCCCCCTGCCCCCCCCTGATACTACGCCCCTGGAACTTAAATACTTATTGAAATAGCATAGTATAACCCACTCTGCACTGTACGAAGTTTAGTCCCGTCAATGGACAGTAACGACATAATTAATAAAATACATTCTCTTGATAATTAATGAATAATCGCACTAAACAAAGGATATATGCTGTAAACCAACTTTTATTTGCGACGAATGTATTTCGCGATTTACCGGGTGTAAATGAATTGGCGACGATTAATTTTCGCGATCAAGACTTTTTTTTTGAACTGTTTTTAATAGGAAATAGAATTTAAGGACCTGTTCGCGGTGAGTAATATTCGCGATAATGAGGCTCTAGCGATTAAAAGTTAGTTTTCAGTATTGATATTAGTCGACTATTTAAAACCTGTAAATTATATTCCGCTTTATTGTTAAAAATTTCCCAATCTGCCTCTCACAGCACATGAAATACGTCATTTTTACCAAAGTGACGTCATATTTACAAGTTCATCGCGATCAGTGCTTTGTTTATAACCACATGGGATTTAACTAGCAATTCTTTTAATGCATTGATACGTTTTATTATTATACTTTTATGTTAAATACTAAGATCTAATTGGTTAAGATGCAGTTAACAATCCTTTCTATTACCCTCAGCCTTAGCAACATACGTGACGACGAATATCACAACGGTAATGTCACATGCGTGGAAATTATGCGCAAAACGCGCTTGAAAGAACCGAAATAAACCTGACGTCAATAAAAGCTTGCGTCCGATGTAGCTTACTTGAAAACAACAAACGATAGACGAAACATGCTTGCTAGTGCAGAAATAACGAAACTTTAGATATCAAAGGACAAAGTTTGAAAACTTTCTATACGTGAACGTAAAGACGATCGTCGATTTTTTTTGCTAAAAGCCTAAACCTAAAAATTGTAAAAGGTTTTCCTTGGGCTGTCAAATTAACTGTTACCCTCCAAAACAGGCACCATTTATATATTGTTGTTCATTATGCTGTACAGTTAAAAGCTGCAAATTATATCATTTTCAGGTATTTGAGAAATACATAAAAGTCATATTTTTGTGTGACGTCACAGTAATTTTTTTTTTGGGTATAAATTAGGATTAGCTCTTGTTTTCAAGCCTTAGCAATGCTGCGTATTCTGTACATTACGTATTTAATTGACCATTCCGTATATTTGTATGCAAGTACATCGGAGGGTTATGTGGAGGTCTTCGTCTTATTAAATCGATATAACATAACTTAAACAATGAAATTGCAGATAATAAATAGGATCGCATTCCTTTTAGAAACTACAATGCGTGTTGAAAATATTTATAACCTAAACTTGGAAATTGAACATGGTTATGCCCTTGCACTACTGAAATTTATATATATTTACATTTGCCAATGACTTTCCTTATATGACAATACTACAACCAGAAGTCTCTGTCGAGACTGAAGCTCTACTGGTTTGAACTTATAGCAAAGGAAGAGAAAGTACTTAAGCAGCTGGGATTTGAAACTTTATAAACAGCATTAAATAGAATAATGATCGTTGATAAAGTCTCTTTTTGTTCTTAGTGTAGTCTACTTGTGTGCCAAGTTATACTGAAATCAGACCAAAACTGTAGGAGGAGTAGCATTTTGAAACAATTTTACAGACATTTCTATTTTTAGTAACCACGGCAACACCGTTCATCAAAATTAAAATTCGATATATAGAATTATGTATCTTATTGTATTCTACTTGTGTGCCAAGTTATATTGAAATCAGACCAAAACGGTAGGAGGAGTAGCATTTTGAAACAATTTTACAGAAATTTCTATTTTTAGTAACCACGGCAACACCGTTCATCGAAATCAAAAACCGATACACAGAATTATGTATCTTAGTGTATTCTACTTGTTTGCCAAGTAATACTGAAATCAGACCAAAACTGTAGGAGGAGTAGCATTTTGAAAGAATTTCACAGAAATTCCTATTTTTAGTAACCACGGCAACACCGTTCATCGAAATCAAAAACCGATACACAGAATTATGTATCTTAGTGTAGTCTACTTGTGTGCCAAGTTATACTGAAATCAGACCAAAACTGTAGGAGGAGTAGCATTTTGAAAGAATTTCACAGAAATTTCTATTTTTAGTAACCACGGCAACACCGTTCATCGAAATCAAAAACCGATACACAGAATTATGTATCTTAGTGTATTCTACTTGTTTGCCAACTCATACTGAAATCAGACCAAAACTGTAGGAGGAGTAGCATTTTGAAAAATTGTTTACAGACAGACAGACGGACAGACAGACAGACGGACAGACGGACGGACGCCGGACGCATTACTATCGCATAAGCTCTTCTGGTCTCTGACCAGTAGAGCTAAAAAATGAAATTCAATTTTCGATGACATGCAGTGGGTCACATGATCAGACTTTCTTGCGTATGGAGAGCAAACTGCACGTGCAATTTGGAAATTTCCGACTGTGACGTCACATAACGTCGTAGTAACGTTACATTGCATTTCAAAATCTAAGTCTAAATAATGCCTATATTTGTTTTTAAAATGAATGAAAAGGTTAAATATAAATATAAGAAACAAAATATCATTTTTAGAGTTGCATCGGGGTATGACATAAAGTCGGTACGTGATCAAATCTGCTATAACGCCCTTCGGGCGTTATAGAATTTGATCACGTGACCAACTTCGTGATCAACTCTAAAAATGATATCTTGTTTCTTAAGTAACATCAGTACTGCAAGTAAATGTACTAAAATCACGTGACTGCCGCATCATGCGACAAGTGTAAATATAAAATATAATCGTCCTCGATATGTCGTTATTGACCATAATTACAATTATCCGATATAGATAATGTACTTAAAGAATCGCCAACCAAATTATGAATACATTTTCAAATACAAAATATTGTCGATATTTCAATTGCGCACCTTAACTTTACTGCATTGTTTCTCTGCGCAAGGTATTCATAAATAACATTCGCATACATGTAACGTTTTCTGGCGTACTACTCAGAATCGATCAATTTCAACTGCCTTTTATAGTTCCATATTTCATTGGGAGTCTTATTTCTAAGTTTGCTCCGCTCATTAAATTAATAGCTCCCGCCCACTGGGGCTGCTGGGACTGGTTCTGAGCCCGCTCGGACTACTGGAACCGCTCTAGGACTACTCTGGGATTGATTTGTGTCAGGTTGGGTCTGGTCAGGACTGTAAATCGAATAAGACACACATTGAAAGTTAAAATAAGGGTGAAATGAGTATAAAACAATGCTTGCAATGAGAACCACCTTTTCTAAATAGAACGAGGCTATCAACACTTCGCTTTAATTCTCGTTAAAATGTAGATATTGACTTATATGTCTTTCATCTGCTTTTTATTACATTAAGGAACAATATGTATCGAATATATAAAATTTCGTATTTACATAAGTGCCTTCACATTCTTAAAGTCTCAACACACTTACCACTCGCGTTTTTAGCTCACCTGAGCCGAAGGCTCAAGTGAGCTTTTCTGATCAAAATTTTTCTGTTGTCTGTCGTCTTCGTTGTTGTCGGCGTAAACTTTTCACATTTTCATCTTCTTCTCAAGAACCACTGGGCTAATTTCAACCAAATTGCCACAAAGTATCCTTAGGTGAATGGAATTCAAGTTTGTTAAAATGAAGGGCCACGCCCGCTTCCAAGGGGAGATAATTATGAATAAGAGAAAAATTAATGACATTTTTAAAAAAATCTTCTTCTCAAGAACCACTGGGCCAAGAGAGATGAAACTTATGTGGAAGCATTCTCAGGTAGTGAAGATTCAAGTTTGTTCAAATCATGACCCCCCGGGGCTAGGCTGGGGCCAAAATGGCCGATCAAAATTTTACATAGGAATATATATTGGGAAAAATCTTTAAAAATCTTCTTCTCAAGATCCACTGGGCCAGGAAAGTTGAAACTCATGTGGAAGCATCCTCAGGTAGTGTAGATTCAAGTTTGTTCAAATCATGACCCCTGGTGGTAGGGTGGGGAAAAAATAGCCGATCAAAGTTTTACATAGGAATTTATAGGAAAAATCTTTAAAAATCTTCTTCTCAAGAACCATTGAGACAGAAAAAATAAATCTCATGTGAAATCATCCTCAGGTAGTTTAGATTCAAGTTTATTCAAATTGTGACTCCCGGGGCTAGGGTTGAACCATAATGGCCGCTAAAAGTTTTACATAGGAATATATAAAAAGAAATCTTTAAAAGTCTTCTTCTAAAGAACCACTGGGCCAGGCAAGATGAATCTTGTGTGGAATCATCCTCAGGTAGTGTAGATTCAAATTTGTTCAAATCATGACCCCCGGGGGTAGGGTGGGGCCAAAAAAGTTTTATATAAGAATATATGGGGAAACCTTCTTTTCAAGTACGTCAAAGCCATGATTAGTTATATTCATATGGAATCATCCTCAGGTATTGTAGATTCTAGAATCATGACCCCCTGGAGGGTTAAAATCGAAGCCTCCCCCCATCCCCCGCAACTCAGTACACTTTAAGTTTTGATCTGATATGTGCTTTTTCCTAGCCGATGTTCTCAGGTGAGCACTGTGGCCCCTGGGCCTCTTGTTCTTCTTCTTCCAAATCATAAACACAAAAGATTGCACCCCTGGTGTAAAGTAATGTAAAGTACAACAGTGTATTCTTTGTCATGGAGATGTAGAACACACGTACATGCCTAGTGTCTACAGTACAAAGAGATCGAAAATTGTAACTCCAAATAGGTTATAATCATAACTCCAGATAATAGTAACAAAATATTATATAATATGATAAAAGTTTATATGATAAGTGAAAGAAATCAATAGCTTCTTTGCAAAGAATTAATTCCCGTTCAATATTTCGATTTCTTCTATTTCATTCAGGTGATTGTGTTCTTAGAGAATAAGAACAAGTAAACCATGGGTTCAGGATCAAGCGTCCAGTGTAAAGTCTGTCAGTGTTCTCAGTGTCAGGGGGATACAGAATTCTACTGTAACACGTGTAAATATGACCTATGTCTACAGTGTAAGGAGAGCCATGTTGTTGATTTATATACCAAACACCATGACGTTGTGATTTTCCGAGAGAAATATGACAACTTAAAACAAGAGACCTGTTTGCGACATCCAGACAGAATGTATAAACAATACTGTTATTCATGTAAACTTCCTGTCTGTGCAAAGTGTAAAAATCACCGACAACACGCAATACTTAATATCAAAACAGAGTACAAAACAAACCGTGAACAACACAGAGACATCCTTCACAAGATCAGAAGTGAGGCTCTCTATAGTAACCGTTTTCTCCTGGCAGACATCAAGACTGATTTTAAAACTTGTCAAACAGAGATCTTCAACCATCAACTAAAGATTTCGACAAAAGCCGAGGGACTTAAGAACCGCATTGACACTGTAATGTGTGATGTTAAAGTCAGAATGAGATACAAAAGTTTCATGATTAATCATGGACTACAACAACGGAAGAGAATTCTTGCCAGCATAGAAAAATATGAATACAGATATGAACAGTCAGCAAACAGAGCGGTGAAACTCCTCTTTTTTATTAAAAACATTTTTGTCCCGAAGATAAAAGAAGCCCTACATATTACACAAAACGCCTTGCTCTCCCTGACTGATGAAATCAGGAAGGATGATGTGATTGAGATATTGAGTAAAATCCAAATCACAGAGAAAGGGAAAAGACAAGCACGAAATGAATGTCCGCTGGAACTATTGTCTACACCTGAGCTACTCAAAACATTTAGACTGAAAACTTTTGGTTGCGTAACAAATATGTCTTGTCTCAATTCAGACCAGTCTTGGATCAGTGTTAAGCAGAATTATTTTACTTTATTAAGCTTGACAAACACAGAAGTGGAAACTCTCCATCATATGACATGTAAAACAGATTATTCAACGATTGTTTTATATGGCACACATACAGTGAATAATGAAGGGGAATTAATTTATATAAACACTGATAATGATATTTACAAACTTTCTCCAGAAAATAGCACTAAGTCTACACTGATAATAGAAACATACGCATGGGAGCCGTTGTGTGTCTATTCCTCTCCAGTCAATGGAAATCTTCTGGTCGGCATGTTTAATTATGATAAAAAGACAAGCAAAGTAAACCGATACGATAACACAGTACAACACATACAGACGATAGAACATGACAACAAAGATCAGCAACTGTACAAAATACCTAGATACATCACTGAGAACCGTAATGGAGATGTTATTGTGTCTGACCTTAATCAAGTTGTGGTGATAAATCATAGAGGGATACATCGCTTCTCCTACACAGGACGAGTATCAGGAGATAGACTTGATCCATGTGGAATCTGTACAGACGCGCTGTCACACATCCTGGTGTGTGATTATATCACCCGAACAATACAGATGATTGACAAAGACGGTCACTTTCTGTCACATATACTAACACGAGAGCAGGGAATAGAAAGACCACTCAGCCTGAGTTATGACAAAAAAACTCATCTCCTCTGGGTTGGATCATGGAACAACAACACAGTGTGTGTTTATAGATACATTAATATAATAGGACGTGAGACGGGTACATGCAATTAATTAGATATATACTGTAGAAGCAGAAATTTTCGTGGGCATAAAATTTCGTTGTTTTGTCATCAAAAATAGTTTCGTGGACATTTAATTTCGTTGTTATAAAAGTAAACCTATTCAATATATAGTCATATTAAATTTCGTGTGGGATTTAATTTCGTTGAATATTGTTTACAACGAAATAAACGAAATTAAATCCCCCACGAATATTTGTGCTTTTACAGTATACAAATTCTTAAGTGTCGTGCATCATAGATCTCATAGAAAATTGTAAGATCTCATAGAAAATTGAAATCGGTTAATATTAATTAAACTTTGTCCTTTGTGTTTTTTAAATAAGAATAATGTATATTTTCCATAAGAAAATTTGAATTCCATAACGATTTCTATGGAATTCCACAGAAATCATGCTCCAATGATTTCCAAGGAATTTTCAAGAGTATTAGGAGGAAACTTTTTTTCGAAATGTATTGGGATTTTAAATCTAGCCTGGAAAAGAGTGGAACAATGTCAGAATAGAAGTTTGCATTAATAGCTTGAAATCAGTGGTATTCAAGAATATAAAGAAGTCTATGGAAATCTATGGAAATTAAAGAAATTCCAGGAAAACACAATGAGAACTGATATACTTAAAATAATTAGTTCCAGATAATTTCAAAAAACTTGATAACCTTACAATTTTTCATTGAGTCTATAATTTCAAATGGTAATAATAAATCAATGTTTCTTTTATAATGTGTTCTGATACAACTATTGCATACACTTTTTAAAAATTATTCCCCCTTAAAGTTTTTTACATCAAATGTTATTTACAAAATATCCAAGAAAAAATGTGATTACTGGAGGATCGTCTTGGTTAAATCAATCATAAAGTTTCCTCCTAATACTCTTGAAAATTCCTTGGAAATCCTTGGAGCATGATTTCTGTGGAATTCCATAGAATTCGTTATGGAATTCAAATGTTCTTATGGAAAATATACATTATTGTTATTAAAAAAAACACAAAGGATAAAGTTTAATTAATATTAACCGATTTCAATTTTCTATGAGAGGATCGCCTTGGTTAAATCAATCATAATCATGTTATGATAAACATGTATGTTGTAAACTCCAGTCAACTCCATGAGAAACTGAAATCAAATGACTTTTGAGTCTTGTGTTTTAACGCCAACAGTTTAAAAATCCTATGGACTTTGTATTGTTTTATGGTCTTTGATAAACTGATTACTATTAGTTATGTATACATAGAGGGGTAATACGGAAATATGTGGGATCCTTGAGAAAATGCATTTTTTTCAAGGACCACACATATTTCCGTATTACCTCTCTAAGTGTCTACATAACGAATTTAATAAAGGTACACTTTTTCTGTGTTAGCAAACCGTTCCGTAACAATTGTTTACATTGTGACGTCGTTAAATGTTATGTGACGTCAGCTATTCGGCGTGTTAAACTGAAAACAACCTATTGACTATGATCTATGCAGTATGCAGGGGGCATTTTGATTTGATTTGTGGTGATTAGGTCACTAGGTTACTTATGGTACAAGAAGGATAAGGAGACCACGTGACCTAACCACCACACATTAAATTAATATGCCCCCCTGCAGGTGACCTACCCACCACACATCAATATTGAACATGCCGAATAGCTGACGTCATATAAACATTAAACGACATCACAATGTAACAATTGTTACAGAACAGTTTGCTAACTGCTGATAAAAACTTTATTGAGAAATCTTCGACAGGATAAGTTCGTTATGTAGACACTTAGAGGTGTAATACGGAAATTGTGGATCCCTTGAAAAAATACACATTGGGCTCGGCTTACTCCTCGCCCACTATGATCAAGAACCCCACATATTTCGGTCTTACCCCTCTAAGTGTCTACATAACTAAGAATGTTTCTGTTGGGTATATCATGTAGAACTATTATAACAAAAAATTTCTCGATTGTGGTAAAAAGATTATTTACATGAACGGTGTAGTTATACTTTTTTAAAGCAAATAAAAATAAACTGGGGGATATGAACCGGAAACTCAAACACAAAAACAGTTCATTAAAAAGGAGCAATACTTACGTAATCTATTAAAACATGAATAAGTAAGCGAGTAATTTAAAATTAGAAGTTAAAGAGCATATTATTTAGGTACGAGCAAATTATCAAACTAGGCATGCTTTTGGCAAACAAGTTGTTAAAAAAAGGATATCAACGTTTAGTTTTGAGTTGCAATGTACCCGATAATACTTGTTTTCAACAGAGATGCTCTTTCAAAGTTTAAAGTATTGGATTGTGAGCTTAACATAATTCATAGATAGTAGAAAATATATCCTTGAAAGTGTTTGGTGTCTGTATAACTGTGTTATCCAAAACTAACATTCTGCTTTTACTGCTGTTTTCTCTATCTGACTCTCTTTATCTGACTCCTGATGTTTCGTAATGCCGGCTATATATAGATTTTTGTCACCGTTGTAATCAACGACATAGTACGAAAGTTGACTTCACCAATTTTGGTGATTTTACCAAACCCAAAATATTTACAAGGTGTATGGATAAGTAATTTTACGGAGAAATATGTTTTTATGAGGGATGCTAGCAAGGTTTAACAGGAAAATGAAATATAAGAATGGCCCAGTTATCATATACATATGTAATGTGTTTACAAAATTGAGATTAGCGCTATGTATTGTGGTTTTCTTAATTACCAAATCACCAACACACGTTCCAATGTCGTTACCTACAAATTATCAACGATCTGCAGTCATCCTTGTCGTATGGTTAATTTTGTATTAAATCAATCTTATTAAGTATGTTATCTCCAAATGATCAGTAGCATCAGCATACAAAATAAAGCTAATAGCGCATTCTTTTTAATATGTATTAACATGTGATCAAAAGGAAAGTAATAAATATGAACGATAAATCAAGGCCTATACATTACAAAGTCATCATTTTAAGTTCTATGATCTTTTTGACGAATCTCTGGTCCAATAGAGATGATAATTCTTCCATTGCAACTGTCCCAGCTTCTGATATGTTTAAAGATCCTCATTTGCTCTCTCCCTGATTTGTGATGTTCCTACAAACTTTTTAGCTTGATTACTTTTCATTATATTCATATTTCAATAGAATCACAAAGGATAAAGATAGGATTGGAAGAGAAAAAATGGCATCAAAACTAGCTAGTACGTCTAATCGAAGACAAGCTACAGACGATGGATTGGTGTGCTTGCATTTTAATAATTATATTATTTAAATGTTTAAATTAAAACAAACACTTTAATTTTTATCAGCTTAATTCTCTGCAACTTTTCTCACTTCTCAAATAAATGAATATATATTTTTATTGATTGAACTGCGATATAGCAGCTGCTTATTTGTCCGTGTTCAATTTCATGTAGTGTCGATGATTTTTAGTAGGAGTTTCATACCTTTTCGCTATATATCTTTCTAACCACGGATGGCATATATTAAGATAGTAAAATGTCTGATTACAGACATTATCACAAATTTAATGTTTATTCAATTGATATCTGTAATATGATACAATTGAAGTGATAACGTTCATTAAACTATTGAGGATATCCGCCATACAGCCAGGAAGGATAACTAAAAGCCCCAGGGAACGGACAGCTTAAAACCGGTTTGTAACTTACCAACAGTCACTTCTAAAGTTTTCTATTTTCCCGTTCTTTTTTGCTGTATTTAAAAATTTTCTTCCATTATGTTTAAAGAACGTTAAACTGAGCCATAGGATAAAACATGCATGGCATTTTGTGTTTTCTATTTAGAGATTCATAGGAATCCGAATATATGTAACTATAAGCAGATGTAATGAATTCTTAGATACATATGCTACTTCTAATATAATCTAATCAATTTCTTCAAAGGAGATATATTGCTGAATAAATCTTATTCGAATACACCGAAAGTAGCCATATAGGTGTGCTGACCAGTGCTTCGAACAATATCAACGATGAAGAAATTATCTATACCCCGTAGTCAAGGATTTTCTTCTGTTCTTCGTTTCTAGTATCAATATTCTCATGTCTCTATATATGAGTTAAAAAATGTTGACTGACACATTAAACAACATACATTGTTATACATCCAATATAAATCATTAATAAAAAAAGTCTTAAAATTCATGACCATGGGGTCATAAACAAATCGATTTTAAATCGCAGGATAAGATGTTGGACCTGTAGATAAAATGTTGGACCGCATTCCTCAGTCAATGGACGGGGTCAACGTAATCTTATTTGCATTCGTAAGTGTTTAGCATACATGCATTTATAAAAATAAAATAAATGAATAGAAAACATGCATAACGAAATGAGTTTAATCGATCCCTCATAAATGATTGTTTGCCTTCGTCCTAATGGGCTCAGGCAAACTGTTTGTTTTTTAGATCTGACAAAATATGCTTCGCTCTTAAGCCGAGGCAATAAATTTGAAATATTAATATACGAGGGGTTATCAAAAAGTTCGTGGACTGAGAATATAAAATTAGTACTATGTAGTCTGTGCTTTCAAAATTTATATGGAACATAAAACAACACAAAAAAGAGAAATGTTGAAAATTTTAACCTGATACGTTCATTATTTGCCAAATTATTATAAAATGAAAACGACATTATATGATCACCCGGCGCTGTCGTCGTTTATTTTCATGACGTCCGATAACGTCATTGTTTTTTTCAATGTCATCTTCTTCTACCTCATACACTTTTTTGATGAGATTCCCTAAAGCTGAGTAAGGACTTAAACCCGCCTTGTTTTTATGAATTTACAATGTCATTAACAGTGGCCTTCGATGAATATAATATTCCAGATGGATTAAGACATTGGGAAACATCCGCGCTTGATTGTGCCGGCATATTTTGCTTTTGGGAGTTCAATATCTACAACACATGATCAACGTCATTTTTGACGGGATTGATTTTTCACACCTTGACTGCAAATCGACATTAACTGTGTATCCCTTTACTCTCTGAATCTATTTT